AAAAGTCAAAAATAAAAAAACAAACAAAACAAACAAGCAAAAAATAAATAAAATCATGTGTAAAAAGGGAGCAGGAAGAAGTATAAACTTATAATATCTGCCCCTATTTACGAAAAAAAAAAATCAATTCCAGACAAGTCCACTGTCAGCATGCAGGGAAAAAGAAAAACAAAAGAACTCCATGAACATAAAATACAAACAGAACATCACCTTCATCAGTAACACAACGCTTCAACATAACAACCTTCAAGTTGTTTTTAAACACAAAGATTTAAACTGTTTCATCTCACTATCAGACCGTTCCACAACCTAACACACTCAACTGAAATACATCTGTCCATCAGCATTTTTTTAAAGATCTCAATACCTTTTAAGTTATATTCTCTTTCCCTTTTAATAAATCTGACCTGAATATTGTTTAACATTATTTTATGTGCTTTATACATAAAATTTAAAATGTTGTACTCAATGAAATCCTGAAGTTTCAGTATTCAACTGTGCAAGTATTGGGTTTGTATGATCTCTGTATTTATGGTAAATGTACTGAACTTAGAGAGCTTTATCAAGTCCCTCCGGACCCCAAAGCTGTTTACACTCACAGTCACTCACACATTCACACACATTTAGCTCCAATAATAACTCTAATATAAATAAATATACATATTGATGTGGCATTTTTAATGTCATCTTCCAGATTATTCCATAATTTAATTCCCTGGACTGAAGTACTCCGTTCCTTCAAACATGTTCTAACTTCATGTTTGACAAACATTTCTATCCCCTTCAGACTGGGTGCAGATCTGCTGACTGACGCAGGTCTCTGCTAGTGGAGAGTTAATCACTGCTCATAATGAATGAACCCAGTTAAACAAAGAGCTAAGTTTGTTTGAGCCGCTGCTCTTCTGTTTCCTGCAGGAGCTGCGTGACTCCAAGCGGCGCTACGAGTCCCGCATGGTGGAGGTGGACAGCGGGCGGCAGCTGGAGTTTGAGAGCAAGCTGGCTGCTGCTCTGGTTGAGCTGAGGGCGCAGCACGAACAGCAGGTCCACCTCTACAAGGAGGAGCTGGAGAAGACCTACAACTCCAAGGTTGGTCCACATGGTGCAGGAGACGCAGCTCTGTCGCCACCTACAGGCCAAACACTGTTACTGTTTGAAGGATTGACAGAAAAGAGCTGAGATCAAACAATAAATCCAGGTTTCACTGGGTTCTCTGCAGCACGTGTGCAGCTGAAAGAAAATAAAGTTATTCATGTTCGTTTCCAGAATGTGGGCTAAACCAAACAGAAGGTGCAAATGCCTGGAGAGAATCATTAAAGAGTAACGTACAAAACCCCAGGAGAGGCTCAGGCTAAAGTCTGGTCTTTAATGAATCACCAAGAGTTCAGACCGCAACCAGGAAATACTATGAGTTTCAACAAAAGCTCCAGGGCCTGGCTCCGCCTATTTCATTACATCATCAGTGGAGGGGGTCCCTAAACTCTGGAGCCACAACCCCCACACAATAATAATCTGTTCTAATCAGTGCTGTATAAGGTACCTCAAAGTGATACTTGAGTAAACGTACTTCTTATCATCTCATCATAAAAATACTTTGGTAAAAATTAGTGTTCTCTAAAAATATTATTTGAGTAAAAGTCTTAAAGTATCTGATATTTTTTGTACTTAAGCATCAAAAGTAAATTTTCTGACACAAAATCTACTTAAGTATTAAAAGTAAAAGTACTGAGTAAAAGTGAGCAGTTAGATTTTCCTAAATGACATTTATTGGGAGGTGACTTCTCCAAAAAATATATTTTCTAACAGCGTGCAGCTGTGATGGGTTGTGTACAAGATAATAGTGTGTCAGAATGGTATATATTTATACTTCTCATCCAACACAATTAAATTCACTCCATCCAGGAGACACAATTTATCAGGATAGTATTTTTTTAACTAATAACAACTCAGAATAAAATAGTAGTAACGACTTTCTACTTCTTCCCTTTTTAAAAAATGTAGTGAGTAGAAAGTACAGATAATTGTGTAAAAATGTAATGAGTAAAAGTACAGATAATTGTGTAAAAATGTAATGAGTAAAAGTAAAAAGTACGCTGAAAAATAATTACTCAAAGTACAGATAACCAAAATTTCTACTTAAGTACAGTAACAAAGCATTTGTACTTAGTTACTTTACAACTCTGGTTCTAATAAAGAAATAAAAGTTCAGTTATGTGTTGAATTTGTTACAGGCATGTAGCTATTAATATAAGTTATATTTAACAGTCATTACAGTTCTATCATAAAACAAACTATATCATGTGTACTGTAATTAAAATCACTATATAACATTAACCCCATAATTTCTTCAACTCCCCCTTTTCACATAACTAGTCATGTGAACACTAAGGAACTAATTAATAAAAACCCTGTATGTTCACTGTAAGGCACTATGTCTCTGCAATTAATCTAAGTGTAACAGCACAAATGGGAATTAACCGAACACAGCTGCAGATATTTTAGCCTGTGATTGTGTGGTGTTTCAGCTGGAGAACGCCCGGCACTCTGCTGAGAGGAACAGCAGCATGGTGGGAGCCGCTCACGAGGAGCTGCAGCAGACCAGGATCCGTCTGGAGGGCATGACGTCCCAGCTGAGCCAGCTGCAGAAGAAGGTACCCTCACATCTGTGTGGAGCTCCTGTTGGCTTTGACCTGTTTCTGCTGGAGCTGCACCTCATCTGTGTGTGTGTGTGTGTGTGTGTGTGTGTGTCAGCTGTCAGGAAGTGAGGCTAAAGTGCGCGAGCTGGAGGAGGCTCTGTCCCGAGAGCGAGACCTGATGAGGCGGCGTCTGGAGGACAAAGACAGGGAGATGGCAGATATCAGAGCCCGCATGCAGCAGCAGCTGGACGAGTACCAGGAGCTGCTGGACATCAAACTGGCCCTGGACATGGAGATCAGTGCTTACAGGAAGCTGCTGGAGGGAGAGGAGGAGAGGTGAGCAAACCTAGCTCTGACCAGGCGTCCAGAGGACTGAAGGTTGTTGGAGGAGAGAAGAGAAATCAATGTTTTAACGTCACTTTTACCAAACAAACAAACTGTGTAAATCAAGAGTTTCTGTGTTTTAAATATGTTCAGATTTTTCATTTTAGGTCTTAAATACATTTTTATTACATCTCACATTAGTGTTTGTAGTTCTGCCTGAGAATTGGAGCTGTTTTTACTTGAATAAAACTACAGCAGCCATCATGCAGCTGCTCTGTGTTTTCTGTAAATCCTTCAGATATGACCCGTCACATCTGAACAAGGCTGAAGTTTAAAAGTGGTGTGGAGAAACAGGCAAATAGTGTTCTGATTAAAACACTTACAAAAATCACATTTTGTCAAAATAACAAATGAATGCCTTATCAATGTTTCATTTGAGTGAAATTTCTGAAATATTATCATAAAAATATTTAGTACTTTTTTGAGCATTAGCAACAAAAAAAACCTGATTTTGAGGAAAAACACCTTTTAAATTTTGAGGTTCCCTGTAAGCTAGCAACATTTTGTTTCTTTCCAGCTGGGAAACGTCAATATTCAAATACTATTTGAGATTTCTTCTTCATAATGAAATGAAAAATTCCTCATTAAAATGTTATAAAATTAGGATTCAGACTACATAAATATTTATGTATAATAGGAACCAACAAGACAAAATAGGTCAAATCTCTGGTTCTGTTTATGAGATCAGAATGATCCTGGTATAAAAATGTAGCTTTTAAAGCAGGAATCTGAAACAATGATTACATCATCTTGATCACATTTGACTTAATCCAGATTTGGATACGATGGGTGAAAAATCTGTTGAAGATGATCAGCTGATGAGTAATTATCAAAAACAGGATTCTAATTTACAGCACATTACCTGAGTTTATTATTATTATAAATGATTTTATCTGGAAGTTGTTCAGAAAACAGTCAGGATTGAAA